TTTCATGTTTATTGACTTTAATGCCATCTGAAATCATTCAATTAATTGGTAGGGAATCTGAAGAAAATTTTGAAGATTATGAGTACATTAAGGCCATTTTATTGAAGAGATTTAAATTAAATCCTGAAAGCTTTAGAAAAAAATTTGTGATGCACCAAAAGAGCGCTGAAAAATCATGGAGAGATTTTTGCTACGAAATTACAAGTTATTTTGAAGAATGGATCAATGGTCTTGAAATCACAAATTTTGCCGCGTTAAAGTTAAAAGACTTGATTATTACTGACCAAATTAAGAAAAGAGTACCCTATGAAGTAAGAGACCATCTTCTGGACGACTGGGCGAAGTTCGTTTCTCCAACCAAATTAGCTGATAAACTTGACGAATATGACAGTGTTCGTAATATCTCAAAACGGACTGGTGGTAATCCATCAGCAGACAGAACTAATAAAAAATGGCAACCTCATTCTCCACTTCCAGAAAGAGCTTTCAGAAATAAATCGCTGTCCGCTGAAAACACGCCAAGAGTGTACCCATCCCGTAAGAGTGACGAACCACAAAAAACCTAGTTTCAAACTAACTTGCTATAATTGTGGAAAAGAAAGTCATACATCTAAGTTATGTACCAAAAATCGGATACCAAGAAGTGCTTCTGCAACAGCACAAAACAACTTAATACAAACACTATCACCCCTTACAGAAAAAGAAACCCAGAAGTGCTAACTGCCAAGATCTCTATTCCTGTCTCAAAATCAGTGGACGTGTCTAGAAACATAGATGAATTAAAACTTGTCCAAGTTAAATGTGGAGATATTATTTAAAATGGAATCGTAGACACGGGAGCACAAATTTCAGTAGTCCGTGAGAAATTGGTTGACAACATACCTTGCGAAGGAGAAAGTAAAATAGAGATATCTTCTGCTTTTGGTGAAAACGAAATTACTCCACTAAAGATTTTCCAGATGAAAATTGACGATGATTTTCACGGTAGAGTGTCCATTACGTGTGCTGTTTCAAAAAAGCTAGTTACCGATTTGCTATTGAGTTCTTCAGCTTATGAAACACTCTGTGGGAATATCGAACTGTTTAACTGTGATCGTTATTGGGATGCATCCCCCTTAGAGTACAAAGAGACAGATGATAAACCGTTACCAGTTGAAGAAAATACTACAAATTTGGCTGTTGTTAATCAGATTTCCCAAGAAAACATAGAGTCTCTGAAAACAACGAAGAGTAAGACTAGAATTCAAGGCACATCAAGAACAAGACGAAACTCTGAAAAAATGCTTTGAATGGGCAAATAAAAATCAAAATTCATATACTTTCGATGATGGCATATTACTTCATTCCGAATATATCTGTGGTGAAAACATTAAGCAAGTTGTGTTACCTTTAGAAAAAAGAAGGGAAGTCCTAAGAATGGCACATGAAATCCCTCTTGCCGGCCACCTCGGTGAGAAAAAGACAATTCAACGAATCAAGTACTCATTCTTTTGGCCTACTATTAAGCAAGATGTTAAAAAATTCTGTGGAAGTTGTAAAGAACTGCCCTTTACAGAAATGGAGAGAAAACAGAAATGATAGAAGATAAAATTGTTGAACAGGAAGCACAGAAGGAGGAAGAAATTATAACAGGAGAAACTAAGAGGGTAGAAACAGAAGATGAACTCAAAGAGGAAAAGTTAATTGACAGCAAAATAACAGATGTAGAAATTATTCCACCTGAAAGTAAAAACGAATTTATGGGTGAGACTGAAATCCCAGTTGAAAAAGAAACTGAACTCAAGAAGAAAATGAAAATGATGAAATCAGCACAGAAGCTGAAGCAGAAGTCTTGGAAACTGAAAATAAACTTGCAGATAACAGTGAACTATTACAATTTACTGAAAACGAAATTCTGGATGATAACAGAAACAAAAAGTACAATAAGGACAGCATAGATACTGTTGAACTGTGAGATGAAAAAGAAAGTGTGGATTATACAACAAAAGTTGAAACTGAAAAGGAAAATGTCATCCACAATGAAACTGAAAACCACAGAAACCTTTCAAGTTCAAGGGTGAAAACATGGAAGATTGAACAGAAAGTTATTCGGATGAAAGCGAAGAACTGGAAGACGAGAAAGAAAAGAAACGAAGGAATTGCTGAATTAATAGAAGAGCCCGAGTCCGAGGTAGACGATCTACATCATGTTGATGAAGAATTATTAGAAAAAGCAGAAGAAAAAAATGCTGAGATTTTTTTTTAGTTTATAGGACTTTCACCAAGCACAGAAATCCCATATTTGAAGAAATTGATAAAGTTGAAACAATTGATAAATGGTATGAACTACTTGACAAAGCCATTGGAAAGATAGAAGAGAGGAGAGATGATAAGGAATAACAGCTACTGTAAGGATTATATCCCAAATTTTTCTGAGATTGTTTTACCTCTAACAAACCTTACAAAGAAGAGTGTTCCAAATATATCCATGGGACTCTGAAAAAGAAGCCTTTCAACAAACTTAAAGAAGAGTTGATTAAAATGCCATCTCTGCATACTCCGACATCAAGCCCTTTCAACTCTATACGGATGCATCTGCTTTCGCAATTGGAGCGTGTTTAGCTCAAAACGACGAAATGGCAAAGAAATGCCCATAGCATTTTTCAGCAAGAAATTAACGCCCTGTCAACAACGATGGTCAACCATCGAACGAGAAGCATTTTGTGTCATCGAAGCCTTGAAAAAATTTGACACATGGATTTTCGGTGCCAAAGTGCAGATTGTGTCTGATCACAATCCCCTCACCTACTTGACCCAAAGCGCCCCTCATGGTGCTAAACTGTCTCGTTGGGCCTTAGCGTTACAACGGTATAACATGACTGTGACATACCGCAAAGGAAGTTCACATGGGAATGCTGATGCTTTGTCAAGGTTAGCTGTTAACTCTTTCTCTCTCAATGAACTCTGAGCAACATTGTCTCTACGGTGACGAATGTGCTTCTTGTGGGGGGACTTGTAAAGATCGTGACTTGTAAAGATCATGACTTGTGAAGATCGTGACTTAAAGAGAACGTGAAATATAAATAATAGGACAAGAACTTGCATTTTACGGTGTGGCAACAAGAGGAGATTTCGGAAGATTTTTATATATTTTTTTGTTTTAATATTTTGAATATTTTTAATAGTTGTAAGAGTTTTAACTGCAGTAGTTAAGTTTAAAATTTTGATAGTTTAGAGCTGCAGTATTTATTTTTTTTGGTTCTGTTTTAAAATTTAAATAAAAGTATTTTGTTTATTCTGAAAAATTAGCTTTATTCTTCCTACAAGATTCAATATTCATTATATTGAAATAAGGAAAGGATTTTTACTACATTCGTTCAGCAAATTAAAATTAATTTTGACACATATACGATCAACGATGGGACAAGATCGCCTAAGTGACCTAGCATTTTTATGTGTAGAAAAAGAAAAATTTTAAATGATTGACTTTGATGAAGTAATTGATAAATTTGATAAGAAATATATATACATAATAATTAATATGTTAGCCTTCATTTTCCAACCCTCGCATGAAACTTAAAGGTAATCTTAAACTCGCATAAAACTTAAGCTAATTGTACGTCTATGTATAATACATATTCTTTGGTGCCGCTGTGTTGCCATTCAGGAGAACGTAAGATACTTAATTTTTATTTCAAATTTAATCTGTTTATTATCGATTAATACAGTGGTCTCAGACTGAAATTGCTTATGGACCGATTGCACGATCTCAAAACAGCTGATAGGCCAGAATTGTTTTTGAACAAAATGAAAAAGTTTTATTAACAAATAAAAATTATTTTAAATGCATTTTAAAATTAGTTTACTAAATATTTATCAAAACATACGTTGGACACCACCTGACCTTCGTGTATGGCCTATTTTAACATTCAAATTGCTCATATTTTTTACTGCACTTTATATTTTCCGCATGTGTAGCGTTTATACGAGCCAGTTTTCCTTTGAAAGTCCTCCACGAAATCATCCCTGCTCTTAGGCAAATAACCCTCTAGTGCTTTGCTGTAATCAAATAAACAAAACCAGTCCTCGAATTATTCTCACTTTGTTAACCAATTCTTCGAGGTAAGTTGAAAATGAGATAAAAAATTGTAGATTTTGAAGTGAAATATCCCGGTCAATTATAATTTTATTTTTTTCATAATAAGTATAAAACGTTTCCAAATATTTATAAGTATAACAACCGAGAGGCCACATTAAAAGTTATATATATATTTGAAATGAATATTTTCGTCTTTTAAAACACTTCTGCAATTGGAAGTACGTGACCACGTCCAGCGGATATGAAAATAAAGGACGGGTAAGGACTTTTAAGGCGGGTAACGGAGGTGGGTGTTATATGTAAGATAAAAGATGTAAAAGACATATTGTAATTTAAATTAGCAATAGCGTCTTAATGCTTAAATTTATTTCCACTCTCTATTCCGAAAACAGTAATCTCGTTCTACGCTGCGTCATATCGAGACTAATCCATGTCATATGACTCTCATATAACACTGATGATGCAAATTTAACTAAAACAGCCAATTATAATTTTAGAGCAGTATTAATTATCCAATCAAAATGCATTGAGAACCGAAACTAACTCATTCTGAATTAAGATTTCATCCTGCTTAAATGAAGTGCAGCAAAAAAATGTGTATAATTTAAATAGGCCGAACAAGTAAGTCGTGGTGTCCACATCATATTTTTATATTTTATAACAACTATTTCAAACGTCTGGTACTTTAAAAATTAAACTCTTAACCTCTTGAAAAGTGGCTAAGTTCTCGCAACTCGCTGTAGTATAGTAACTTCAGTAGGAGCTGCTTGAAGTGATCCCGTTTGTCCACGGATGTTTTGATGAAATTAAACGACAAGAAAAAACATTCTTCAAAACAGAAATGAAAATTACCTGATTTAATATAAATACAACAAGAAACATAAAAATAACTCTTTTCATAGCATTTTAACTAGGAGAATGGAAAATTTTTTTATGAATTGCTAATGTCTTGAATGCCAAAAGTTCATTTAACAACGGTTCACAATGTTTCTTCGGTTATTTGATCGATACTGTATCCTTAATCTGAATACTCAGAGAGCATTCCTAGCTGAAAGAGAACATAATATAAATATAATCAATATAAATCTATCATATAATCGTATAATAATCAATATATATTTAAAAATAACTCTAAAAGGAACCTAAATTTGACGTATGTGTTTTCAGAGAATTTTTATTTCAAGAGGAGGGGAATTCTGCAGAATTTTTTTTTTTTTTTTTTTTTTTTTTTTTTAACTCCTGGCAACTCTGCGTAATTGAATAGCAACTCTGCGTGACCACTCTCAAAATCCATAGAGTTATTGAAAATGTGTGTCAATTTTTTTCTCTAATTTGATATTATTGACTATAATCGAAACCAACTTGGCAACTTAATCTCTTATTTGCGACATTTCTACATCATTTAGTAATTTTTATTATCAGTTTTGAACATATTTGGTGGCTATACTTCAATTTAAAATATTTACTCTATAATACTTATTCCAGAACCTGGTAGTGAGTTGAAGCCACGGCTGGCTTTTATAGTAACAAAATTTTTATATTAACAAAATTTTTGATCACAACAAACGATCTATTTTCCATGTTTTCGTGTACAAACGGGCGAGACTTCAGGAATTCTGTAACAGTATTCAAATAGCAATATTAACGGCGATTTCATTAAACGGTTGTCTACTGTAAAAACTTTTCCTTGTTTTACTGTCATTAGCTACCCCATTTGTAAAACAGCGAAGTTGATGCTGTAGTTAATGCGAAATGTGCCATCGTTATTTTTCGGATGAACAATTTTCTAATTCCACACTGTCGGGGTGCTCGTACCCTTTCTCAGAAAACGAACAGAGAACGTCACGTCGATTTAGATACGTCGATTTAGATAGTGTCAATGGACTTATTATTTATAGTGTAACCCACCACATTTCTTTCTTTTTCTTCTTTTTTTGTTTGTTTGCTTGTTTGTTTGTTTGTTTAAACGTCCTCTAGAAATGACATCCCTTGTCTGCTCTCTATTTGATGATTGTTTCCCATTCTATTTCAGCGCAATTTGCCTTCAATCTGAGAGAAGGCCTGCGTGTTGCAATGATGACACTGGAGGCTATAGAAGTAGTGGGAAATAAATAATAATGCGAATAGTCAGAGCGTCGATGACAGATGGCATTGCGATTCTGCGAAGTGGAAGCAGAGCTTATTATCATCACTCACGAAATGTTTTAATCTGATTCAGTGAAAAAAAAAAGGTCGCCTCTTTCTCATTCATAATTTATTATTAAAAGTAATTACACACACTTTTGATTCCTGTTCTAATGCTTGTTGGAAATTAAACATGTGGTATCATGAAATATATATACCACAGCCCTTGAAATTCGTTGCGATGACCATCATCACCAAACTAGCAATGATAAATCACTACAGGTTTGATGATGGTGGTACTTGGTGATATGCATTCATATGTTCCTTTATTCTAAGTAGCCGCCTAAAATAGTAATTGGAAAAAAGAAAAATATGTAATGATTTTAATGTCTCTAGCTAGTGTAATTTCATCATTTAATACTTCTAATCATTTAATCATCTTCTAATCATAAAATCATTTAATACTTCTAATTAGACATCTCGTGATTCAAATGCATTTTTACTTCCTCACACGAAGTAAAGGAAGTATTCTAATTGCAAAAAAATTTCGGATTTCAGATTTAAATATCCATTTTGACTAATTTTTGTGTTACATCTCTACGTACGGACAGAGAGTAAAGAATTCTTTATTCCAAAACGGATTGTAAAATGGATTTTTTTTCATGACGTCTATACGTATGTCTGTAGGCAGTATCTCACGTAAGTCAAAAAAGATTAGCCGTAGAACTCTGAAATTTTATACATGGGACTGCTACAATAATTAGTTGTGCATCTCCGTTTTTTATTGCAGTTGTCTATACCAAAAGTAGGTGTGTATATACGTTTGGTATCGAATATATATTATCGAAATAATATACATATATATTATTTAGTAAGGGTGAGAAACAGAGAAAGGGCGTAAAGGACGCTTTTATTTGACTCAAAAATTAGCAGACGGCACCAATCATGCTTACAAGAAAGCCAACAAGTGTGGCTTAAATCAAAGGTAATGGATTAACTAGAACTAAGGCAAGTAAGTTAGCCTAATGGCTGCATAATTAAAGTAACGCACAACTGGCTGTAACCTAAGGTCGGCCTAACAGGCCTAATGGCGAGAATAACTCAATGCTGCAGAGTACTATTAGGAAGTGAATCAAATTTAGCAACGTGTCCTTCAGTAGGCAGAACACGCTATGATTCTACCTTCTATAAACACTCTGTTCTTTTTAACATTTTAATATCACACGAGCTAGAAATTTGCATTCTGGGCAGGAAACTAGGCATAAGGAAGATAGAAGAGCAGTTTAACATAAAATAACTGGTTAGAAACTAAAGCAATACGTACAATATCTATCTATCTAACTATATATATATATATATATATATATAATTTATTTCCTAAACAGTATTGATTAATTGATTATATTATCTCCTAAGTTTAATTAAAGTAGAATTATTTTAAAAGTGTGAATCCATACTGGTAAGTTTATATTTTGAAAGATGTTTTGAAGTAATTTGAAAGCAAAATGTTAATAATGTTTTAATGGGGACTGGAGTTAAATCATCACGAAGAATAAAATTTTCAATTGTAAAAGGAAAATTAAAACATGTAATCATTGTCATTGATCGGAAATTAGTTGACTTTTCAAGGGGAACAAACCAACTCCCGTTCAATGAACAATAATTGATAAAAATACGTAAATACGAAAGTGTTTCGTCTTTACTCGAGTTATAAGTTAAAGCCAAACCGGCAATTCTAGTCAGGCCAAATATATCCGCGAATAGAAGGAATTATGAACCAATGCTGATATTCAAAGAACTTATTCTTATGAAGCATTTTAGTCAATTCAATTTGGAGTAAAAATCAATTACTGTAGAGAAATCCTATTTAACTCAAGTAATCGTCCCCGACACTTTCATGTTTATGCATTTGAGTACTATATTATTTGTAGAAATTAAACATTGGAAATTGTCATTATGAAATCGAATTCAAAGTAAAGTTGAGATAAACATAGAAGATTATAAAAATAAATAATGCAATCTTTGTAAAAACAAATCAAAGACAATATAAAAATAATATAAAAAATAATATAGAAAATAATATAAATAAGATCAGTGAATGTACATGAAGATATAAAGGCCAGAAAAGGTATTAAGTAACTTACATTCTTTCTAGTGGGGGAGTTGGCAAAGTGTTCTCTTCGCGTCTGACTCAGAAGTGTAGGGTGTCCGAAAATTCTTAGTGGCAGTAGGGGTTTTGAATAATATCAGTCGGTAAGACTTGGGTGAAGTAATTTATGGTAGTGGGTGGGACTTGGAATTCTTGAGGGATGTATTTTGTGGAGTTCTTATCTGAGAGAGACCGTCTGTTAAGATTTTTTTTTTTTTTTTTTTGAAAATACTAGTGAATGGAAATTAATTAATTTCTGGCTAATTGTCGTGTCGCAATGATTAAGAATTTAAGAAAGGAAAAAGGCATTTTCACTGTCCAAGAGCTAATAGACAGTCTAAAGGCATGAAATAGGCCCATTTTTTTTAGTAACAGTATAGTAACAGTATATGTCTGAAGACAATTAGCTTTTTACAATATATACAATTGAGTAATTACACTATATACAAATCTTCCAACTGACAGTCATCCAACTTATACCGCCTTCTCAGGTTTAGGAACAAATTATCATATCCCTATCAGTTAAATGATTTAGAGTGAGTATTTAACGCCTGCTCTTTTAAGGCAATGGTTGATAAATTGAATGGGAATTAGATTATTTTTGTGAATTTTGATAAGGATCAAAATTTCGCGTTGTAAATCTATTGTATCTGTGCATATAGTTTTAATTCGTTGTATTTGATTAATTATATATATAGGGGATAGTAATTATATACATAGGAGATAGTAATTAAACTTGGCCCATACCGAGCTCTGTGTAGCTGTAAGTTAACCGCGATTGATTCCAAAATTTCTTAGGTGGACAATTCAAAGGATGCGCTAAAACTCCCCCCCCCCCAAAAAAAAAAAAGTTCAAAAAATTTCTGAGAGGCGGCGCATTACATCGGAACATAAACAAACTACAAATTCCAATACAAACATCGTTTATTCGTTACAGATTGTTTAGCAAGGTAAAGCGTTCAATGTTTAATGTTAGCCCTTTCATTAAAGTGTAAAATGTACAGGCAATGAACAGGGTGTTCAACATCTGATCGTCTGTGATCTTTCACACATGCTACGTTATACGGTTCTTCAGGTCAGTCAAAGTTGCTATACTTTCTCAATAAGCCACTCTCTTTAAATGGTCCCATAATTAATGATTTTAAAACTTTATACAAATTAGTTTTATTTAAAAGGTTCATCAAAATAAAAAAAAATTGCGTTATATAGTATTTACATAACATTTTGTGATATTCTTTATTCATTTATTTAATTAGCCGTTTGGAAGGTTGATCAGCTAAGATAGTAATTATAAAGAAAAAATATATCATGATATTAGTGAGGCTTAGTGAGGCTATAATTTTATAAAAATATTTAATACTTCTAATTATACATGCAGTGATTTAAATACATTTTTATTTAAATCAATCATATTAAAAAGTGAAAAAAAGTATTTTTAAGAACTGCGTTTGTTGCCCCTAAATAGCTTCTTTGTAACTTTTTTGTACCTATTGAATAGACAGATTCAATTTGAAAGTTAAATATCTTACCTTTTGCCGAGTGGCATCATGCTGGCGCAATAAAAAAAAAAAAAAATTATTTCCGGCAGTGGTAACACATTGCATTTAAATAGAGGCATTTGTTGATCCGCTATCGCCGTCGGAGTAGAATGTTGTGACAGCAGGATGATTATGTCTTGAGGCATTAATTCAGACGAATATAGCTTGCAAATTCCATCTGTTAAAAGAATGCTTATTATCGGTAATCCTCAAAATATCCAAAAGATATTTACAAAGACTTCCTTAGAAGAGTAAGTATTCATACAAATATATTATTTCATAGTAAGTATTCATAGAAGGCAAGCAAGACAAACTAATATTGCTACCTTTAAATAATATTTTTGCAAAGAACTGCCTTGGGCCGTTTTATACTGGTTTCAGATTGTTCGCTATTATTTATAATATCTAAGGAACTAGAAATAATTTCAAATATTGAAAAAAGCAAAACAATTTTGTCAATAGAACTTTCTGCCCCTTTGATTTCAGACATACTTCCTACAACTTTTTAATTGTGTCTGATAAATTCTGGACATTAAACGTGTTGTGTACATCTTTTATAATCTTTTTAATTTCGCAAATTAAACTCTTTTTTTTTTTTTTTTTTTTTTTTGTGGTGTGTGTGTTGTGTGTGTGTGTGTGTGTGTGTGTGTGTGTGTGTTATCGACGTTTGGTTTAGAATTTTCAGGAAGAGGATTTAAATTTAATTCCTTAGGCTTACTGATTTTTTCAGTCCTATCCTCGTTTGGCTTTAAAGTTTCATTCATTATATTTTTGCCTTGGTTAACTGGTATTTTTTGGAGGGTTAGATGCTATGATGCTTTCAGGAGTTTTCTTACGGACTAACTACATTCTGTCGGTTATGTGAAATTTTAGAGCATCCTCTTTAATCAGCCGTATGATGGCCTTAGTTACAGCACTTGATGTTAACTATTCGTTTAGTCTCGCAATAAACCCAGAGTTTGACAACGCTTTTGTGAGATGAGATACACCACATTTCATATAACGCCGTTTAATTTTGCAGATTTCAGACAAATGGGAGAATTTGTTGATTAACATTGCTAGATAAATATCTTACCTTTTTTCGAATGGCATCGGTTTGGCTAGGCGGAGATAAAAATGTTTCATTTCGACCAATGTTGCCTTTGCTCGTTTTGAAATCCTGAGTTTATTAATTGAACATTGCTCGAATTCCTGCAAAATATGAAATGAATAAGAAAATTTGAAATCCAAAATACTGGCTTTCAGGTGTTTGGGTGGAGGACTATATGTGTTTAAAATTTGTCAACTCCAATTTCCCAGTTTTCCACAATGTGGAAATTTCATATTGCCAATTTTCTGCAATGCGAAGAACATACATACATTAATTATATATATTACTACATACATTATTATTTACTAAATAATGGAAATACATTGTTTTTAAAATACAACTCTGTGTGCAGTTTCAATATCCAGTGAGTCATTATACGTTCTCAATTAATCTGACCGAGGAATAGGGCATTCGATTCTTATAATCTTGCGAATCTTCAGAAAGATTCTATATTTGAAAAGTCTAATATTTGCGCTTTCTTCGCCACCCCCTCTCTTCAAGCTCTTTGAATATTCTGAATCATGACTTTGAAAAGGGGTAAATGATAATTTCAGAGATTTTCACTAATTACTTTTATTTATGTCCAATAAAAAGTTGGCAATTGTTTATTTTTGACTTATTCCCTGTCTATTTGGGGAAATTGCATTTTGATATTTTGCTGCATTTTTTAACATTTTCGTTGTTTTCAATAAAAAACAATGAATATATTTTATCTAAAATTATTATTCATTTGCGGGAATGACTCATGTTTGAACATTATTAATGCATTTAAACGAATTACTGATACATTTGGAGAAAAACATGCGACAGAGTGTTTCAGTAAAATTTGTTCATATTTATCTGTCGATTCTTTCGATCAGTTACAATAAGTTACAAACCTATCAGTTACTTTCTATCAATAATAAAGTGCACACAAGATCAGTTACGAATCTTTCAGTTACAATATTGCATGTATTCTCTGTAAGTTCAAATTTTGAGTAATTTTCTCACCAATACTTAAAATTCGTTGTTCAATACTTAAGGATCCTATCTCTGATTTTATTTCTTCTGGAATTTTAGCATATAATATCAGTGTGGTTTCAAAGACCTTATTCACAGACATTGTTCACAGGCCTTTAGACATTTAGCCTATATCACGCTAACCGACACCAAATTTAACCGCTATAGACATTTAGGTGTGAAACTGAAAACTGATTTGACCAAGCTGAAAAGCTTTGAAATTTCTCCTCGGGGAACACGAATCGTATGTTCGAAAAGGAGAAATAAACAAATTTTTGGTAACTAATCGTAAATTTACTTAAATGAATCGCATTTAATCGTAATTTTGATCCTGCAAAAGTTATTCGTTTGGCTTCTTCAATTAGTGTAATTTACATTTCTTTGAACTTTTTCACATTAACAAAAATTGTTCTTCTTTAATTTTACAACCTATCAATTTCCAATGCTTTCAAATCTCAAGTATGGGTGTTTCACTTTCATTACTATTTTCCTCGACTGATCACGCTACGTTCTTTTTCGCTTTGCTCCACCCTTTGCTTTCGATGTACAGTCGCACCCCGGTATACATACGCTTTGAAATACGTCCAGTTTCGAGATGAAAATTTTGATCGACTCGAGTTCGAAGAGTCACGACTGCGAGCACTATTCTTGTTCACCTCTTTCGAGACAATGCTAAGACTTTCCATGAGCGTCGGTACAAGTGTTGCTACTATTTAATACACAACTCGCGCTCTGAATCGATTCTGAATTGAATGTAACTGTGATTGAATATAATTCTGAATGTCTATGTGAATCTGCATTTTTTGCGTAATTTTTTATGAATTCATTAATAATGAGTTTTAGGAAAGTTAATGAGAACGAAGCAACGAAGAAAATGGTTAGGATCACAACGGAGGTGAAAAAGGAGATTGTTAAAATGTATGAAATTGGCGTGCTTATCCGGGAATCAGCTATTATAACCTAGTACAACAACAGAATTGTGAAAAACAAATACGCTATTAATTCGGCTAACGTTGCGCAGGTGGTCGTTGAAATCCATTACTAAATAAAGATCAAGGATGGCAGAGCATGTTGAAAAATTTCTTTCGATCTGGAAAGCAAAAAAACTTTTATGTACTGTATCATTGCAGTGCTGCATTTATATATAGTATATATTTCATCACTGCGTTTTTGTTTTAGTATTAAATAGCATTCATTATAATAATAACAATAGGCTTTTTTTATAAGGTCGGAGTAATTATTTTCCCTTTATTTCTTATTGGAAACATTCTTTTGGTGCAAGCCCAAGGATTTAGAATGGATTAATGACGGAAACCGATGTACCATCGTAAAATCATTTCGCTCCTCTCACTGTTGAAATTATCTTTCTTCCTGCTAAAGTAGAGTAACATGCCCATAGTAAGGGAGTATAGCACATCGTTCTCGAAACTGATTTCAAAATCTACCCCAATATTAGGTTGCTTTTATATCTAATTTTAAAATTTCTATCCCGTATAGCATTAAATAAAGTCAAAAACGTTATACTTGTCCAGTAATCTTCTCGTTGGGTACCCTGGAAGCGGCCTTTTCTCAGATAAATATGGATAAATTTAAGTAAAATAATGTCGTATTTTTTTGCCTAAATGATCGTGTCGGCTGAATGTCTAAATCGGCTAAACCTGGTGCCGTTTAAATGTGGTGTCAGCTAAATGCCTATATCGGCTGAGTCTGGTGTATGTGGTGATGTCGACTAAATTTCTATATCGGTTAAATTTGGTATCGGTTAAACCAACACCTCCTAGAACTAACTGAATCCAGGGGGTGCTGGTTAAATGTGATATCGGCTGAATGTCTATCAGCAAAACCTGCTGTCGGCTAAATGTCTACATTGGCTGAATATTCTATCGGCTAAGTGTCCGAGACCAAGTTTCGATTACGAACTTTTGTCTATGTATTTATCTTAATGCCTGAACTTTTATCTTAATTCGAGGTCTGCAATAAGTATAGAATTTCATTTGAAAAATTATATCACCGAAAGTAAGGTTTTCACTGGAAATATTTTGAAAGCAGTTTCTGCACCTTTGTTTTTAGAAATGCAGTCCTTCGTTTAAGTATTATGCATTCATCGAATGAGGAGGTAAGATTCTATTACCGCAATACGCAGATAGCTTTTGCGTGTTGTGTCATAAAAACAATTAACCTTTGCTGTAATAATGATAATAATAGTCATATGACGCATTGCTTGGATGAACGCATTTTGCTTTCAGACCATCAAGCGGAGCCCAACCGTGTATGTACTGATTTCCTTTGTAGTAATAATGATAAACTTGAATGGATCTTTGTCAGCGATTAACAGATCGGAACTGTAATTAACCCTAATCTTAATTCTTTTAAATCTAAGTCATGCCAGTGAGTATAGATAGATCTTTGCAAACTTAGAGATGTAGCTAATTTATTTTTTCAATCTAATTGTTTAGTTTAGGTTAGTGGTTTTGAAACTTGCTGGGCTTGGAAAACGCCTAATTTTCTTTTTCTAGAACTTATAAAATTATATTTCTTTTATCGAAGCCCTAAAAAAATTGAAAATATATATCTTGTGTGCACTTTATTATTGAATAATGAAAATTCATTATTACCACTTATTACTGAATAATGAAAATTATTCTGTGTATCTAGCTAGCTGTCCTTCCGTCACACTGTGAAAAAACGGCGGTACCTAAGGCCATCAGTTTATGAATATACTGTAAAATATAGTTTATGTTAACCCATTATCTTATGATTTGGAAATTCACTGTCACTTTATCGTCCCCCCCCGGCGATCGACTGGAAGCAATCCCGTCGTTCTGGCTAGGTGAATACCTAGAGAGACTCCACTTCTTTAGAACAGACTATATCCATCGTCTGTACCAGTTTCTTAAAGTGTGGGTCGCGACTCTAACTGGGGTCGCGGGACCTGCAGTAGGGGTTCGCCAAAAACTTCAGCAACTTTTATATTTTTTAGCATATTATAATAGTTTTACAATTACCAAATATTTTTACAAAATCTACCTGAAAATAGATAAAGGTAAGACAATACAGACAAAAAGAAACGAAAAAGTTTCGACGCATTTTTACTTCCTTGTACGAAGTAAAAAGGAAGTATTGTAATCGCGAAAAGCTTCAGGCAGCATATTTCAACGAAAATATCCACTGTGACCGCTTTCGAAAGCAATTTAACGATGTTTTTAACGATGTTTAATTTAACGATGTTGATATCTGTACGAAAGGACAGAACAAAAGACTCTTTTCCTCCAAAAAAATTATTAAACTGCTTTAAAATGAATTCTGAAGAGAATTTTTCGTGGCGTCTGTACGAACGCATGTACGTACGCACGTACGTACGTATCTCGCATAACTCAAAAACGAGTAGCCTCAGAACGTTGAAATTTTGTATGTAGGACTGCTATAACATGTACATGTGCACCTCGTATTTTGGTTGCAATCGGCCGCACCAAACGTATATAAATATATTTATAAATATATCCACTCTGTTATCCGGCTCAGTGATCTCAGTTTCTTTACTCTTATATGTTTGTAAATTGTACATTTTTTTCTTTAAAAATGATTGAATTATGTTGTTTATATCTTCCGGTTAAGGGTTTTATGCCTTTAGTAAATCTGTATGCAATATTTTTAGAATTATCAACAATTTAAAAGTTTGTGCCGCTAAGCCTATTTTGATTTATTATAATTGTTTAAATGCCGCTAAGCCTATTTTGATGGCGGCCAATGCTTGTTTACATTTGAAACAGCTGAGTAGTGAATTTGTTGCCAATCTAGAGAAACGTAGCTTTGCAACAACAAAGATAAACGCCTTCATTTATTATTGCGATTTAAATCATGCTTAATCCTTTCTGGAATTTTTTCGAGGAAATAAGTGTTTAAGATTTATTTAATTTTTAATAATTTAATTTTTAATAATTAGTAATTTAATTTTAATATTAGTAATTTTTAGTAGAGATATTTTGAGTTTTTATGTATTTTTGCCTTGTCGCGAAGTGAGAACTGAATTAATTGAATGAGAAATACTCAATCGTCTGTGAAAAAGTGTTTCTTTTTTGTTTTGTTTGCTTAATTTCTTTTA